TAGAATAGAATAGAATAGAATAGAATAGAATAGAATAGAATAGAATAGGAAGGGACCTTGGAGGTCTTCTAGTCCAACCCCCTGCCTAGGCAGGAAACCCTATACCACTTCAGATGAATGGTTAGAGGGCAGATATCTCTCTCTGGACACACAGAATATATTTGCTGAAAAGAAAAAACTCAGCATTGGTGACAGGAAGGGCATCCGGCCAGTAAACACTCAGCTCTATTCAGTTGCCCAAACTCTGTCCCTCAAGGGATTATGGGGTCGTTAAAAGAGGATGATGATGATAATAACTAGCTTCGAACATTGCAGCCCAAAGCACTCCGCTCACCTATCTGCCTCCCAAGTCAGAATTGGACACCTGCCTCCAATAAAGTTTTCCTTTGAAGACAAAACTACGGATGGCGACAAACAGTGGCCTGGTTCAAATCGTTTGGCAGACAGTTTATCGCAAGTCAGTTGGCGAGGACGTTCTGAGGGAGGAAACGGCTCTGCCCCAAAATGACTCTGCCCAAAAGTGTTTCACTGCAGCCTCAACCACAAGGCTTAACCACCCGGAACCCCTTTGGGGACATCGCCTTAAAAAAAACCCCTCTCTTGCAGGTTCCTACCCGTCACCGAAAGCCGGAGCGACCCTTGTTGTGTATAAGGACCTGCTGGTGCTGTTCGGAGGCTGGACGCGGCCGAGCCCTTACCCCCTGCACCAGCCGGAGAGGTTCTTTGACGAAATACACACCTACTCACCTTCCAAAAATTGGTACGAGCATTTCAGCCGTTTTCAGGCGCCTGGTTTTTGCTGAGAAAAGAGGTGTGGGCAGCAACAGGCGCACGGCTGCCTTTTTTTTTTTTTTTGAGCGTTTAACCCTCCTCTTCCTCCTCCAGGTGGAACTGCGTGGTGACCACCCATGGCCCTCCTCCCATGGCCGGCCACTCCTCCTGTGTGATCCAAGACCGGATGATTGTCTTCGGAGGCTCTCTGGGGTCACGGCAGATGTAAGTCTCCAATGCTCCTCCTATTCTGAAGCTCCGCGTTCCCCGAAAAGCTATTTATTTATTGAATTTATAGTGCGGCCTATTTGCACATGGTGACTCAAGGCAGCTTACAGAACATAAAACCTCATTTAAAACAACAAAACTAACAAAAGAGAATCAAATAAATTAATATTGATTTGGGACTTCCGGTTTGAAGGGCTTCGGCGACAGATAGGAATCTGCGATTGTGCACGGTTTCTGTCTGGGCTGGCCGCTGGAGCGCCCCGAGCCGGCTGGTTTCGGGGCTAAGCCACCCAGTAGAGGTGGTGAAGAGGGGGGAGACCACCAGCAGGGTCGAGGGGAGCCGCATCTCTCCTCCTCAGCTGGCCATTACTCCCTTTCCCGAAGGCGGTAGGAGTGGTGGTCAGAAATGGCCACCTCAAAGAAGAACTCAATCGGAAAAGAACGTGCAGGAGGAAGATAATGGGCTCCGTCCCACTCTGGGTTCCCCAGGCCCGCTGGCAGAACCAGGTCTTCAGCACCTCCTGGAAGAATGTTAGAAAGGGGGCCGTTATAATCTCTGGAGGAATGATGTTCCAGAGAGAGGGAGCCACCACGTAGAAGGCCCTTCTGGGTCCCACCAGGTTGGCCGTGGGACCTGCAGTGTTCCCTGCCTCCCTGCTCTAATGGGTGGGTAGATGTGACCGGCAAGAGACGGTCCCTCAGATAAGCTGGCCCACCAGCACTTTGAATTGCACCCGGAAGCAAATCAACAGCCAATGCGGTTCCCGCAGGAGAGGTGATAGATGTGCACACTGCGGTCTGCACAAAGCCATGCGGGCCGCTGCATTTTGCACCAACTGGATGTCGCTGCACCTTCCATGTCGCTCTTCCCTGCAGGAGCAGCGACGTCTGGGTCCTTGATCTGGAGCACTGGACCTGGTCCAAGCCGAACATCTCCGGGCCTGGGCCTCACCCACGAGGAGGCCAATCCCAGGTAGCGTTCCAGCAGTTCTTGTCGTAAATGGGGCAGGCGGAAAACGTCCCGTTTTTCCTCCCAAGGAAACGAATCTTCCACCTCTCACATAAAAGCCCTGGCTTTTCCTGTAAGATTTGAGAGGAAGGGGAGCAAGTTGTCCTGGCATGGATTTTCCTAGCCGGAGCAGAAGCAGGAGATGGAAACTGAGACCGATGGGGGCAAAAAATTGCCCAAAGACAGACCTTCCCAGAGCCAAGAAGGTCCCGGTGGGAGCAGGGCCTGGCAGACCTTTTCCCACCAGACATGGCATCGTCCCAGAAGAGGCAACCCGTTGTGGCCTGTTGGCCGCCAACCGCTCCATCAGCCGAATCAGAGGAGGATGGGATCAGGGTCAGCATCAGGGCACCCTGGGAGCTCCAAGAGGGAAGGAGGGAGGGAGAGAGAGAGAGGGAGGGAGAGGGGGAGAGAGAGAGAGGCAGAGGCGAAGCCTGGGCTGTCCGTCAGCCCTCAGATGGAGAGTCCACAGCCCCCAGGTCTGGAGGTGGCTGATGAACAGCCCTCAGGTCTGGAGGTGGTCTGGAGGAACAGCTGGGTCCAGTGCCTGATGCACAGATGCACAGAAGGCAGAGGAGAGGAGAGCAGTGGAAATCTATGGGCCGGTCCTGGGGAAGGAAGAGCCACCACTACTAGCGAGACCCCACCTTAGCTCTGGGGATAAAAGGCCGGGGGCGGAGATGAATAGGTGTGGCACAATAGGACGTAATCCTGCATTTGAAAGGAACTCTCTTGCTGGGTCAGCCAGCCCTCCTGATAAAGGAATCTTTTGAGTTCACGTCAGAGGGTTGGTCATGTTTGGGGAGCTGCGTTCAGAACACAACTGATGAGTCTTCCCTCCATAAATTTGGGGGGTTTTAATTCGGCTTGCAAAGGGGGTGGGAAGGAATACCCCTGGCACTCCCTCCTCCCATCAGCGGACGGCATCGCCGCCTGTGCTAGCCGGGCCTCCTTCGATCTTCAGACTTTTCTTTCCCTGTTGTCACAGATTGTCATAGACGACGAAACCATCCTGGTCCTTGGGGGCTGCGGAGGTCCAAATGCGGTGAGTAGGCGAAGCTAGGATCGTTCCGCCCCTTTTCTGCCCTTCCCTTTGTGTCTAGCACGGCGTCTGTTTGAAAAGGCTCCAGTCAACGCAGGGGCAATGCCCGTCTTCCTCAGGCCCCCAGGGTCTGAGTTGGCCCCTAGCAAAGGTTTTCTCCTTGGGGAAGTGATGCAGAAACCGTCCTCTCCAGGTGGAGGAAAGAGGAAGTAAAACAGGTGGCAAAACCTTTCGGGACCAAGAGAACAACGGTGGAGGAGGGCCAGGCAGAAGGCTGGGGGGGTGGGGGGGGGCGGAGGGTCCCGTCTTACGGGCGTTTGAGCTCTCACCCAATTTGCAGCTTTTCAAGGACGCCTGGCTGCTGCATATGAGATCCGACCGTCTGTGGGCCTGGCAGCCCCTGAAGGTGGAGAACGAGGACCACGGAGCCCCTGAGCTGTGGTGCCACCCGGCCTGCAAGGTGAACGGGAGGGAAGGGCAAAAGACACCCCCCCCCCATACGAAATTCTTCTTCTTCCTCTTCCACATCTCGTCTTCCGCACCAATGAGATGGGCGGAGCAGCTCTGATTTCAAGAGTGTGATGCACTAAAAGCCTGTGACGGCGAACCTATGAAATGTGCCGCAGGTGGCATGCGGAGCCATTTGTGCAGACACGCAAGCTCCAGCCAAATTTACTTGTACTGCGCATGTATGCGCCTCCCAGCTGATTTTCGGCCCATTTGAGGCCTTTTTCACCCTCCCTGGGGCTGGAGGATGAAAAACGGGGCTTCCGGAAGTGCCAAAACTGCCGAAACGGGCCTGTTTTTCGGCCTCCAAAGGCTGCAGAGGCTTCCCTCAACCTCCCAGGAAGGCGAAACGGCCTCAAACGGGCCGAAAATCAGCTGGGAGGTGCACATATGCACAGTACAGGTAAGGGGGGGAGGTTGCACACACCTGCACAGGGGGCACATTGTACTGAGCCGCAGCATGGCTCAGTGGGGGGGATGCCGGAGGGTTCCTTTTGTCTCCCCCGCCTCCTGTCTTGGGCTGAGCCCAGCTGCCTGTGGAACAGGTCTTGTGTCCGTCCTAGCTTAGCTGCTTCTTTTTCTTCCAGGTGGGGCAGTGCGTGGTCGTCTTCAGCCAAGCCCCCAGCGGGAGGGCTCCGCTTAGCCCTAGCTTGAACTCTCGTCCTTCTCCCATCAGCGCCACGCCGCCCGCCCTGCTTCCCGAGACACGAGAATGCCGCTCTCAGTCTCCCCTTCGGACTGCAGACGAGGCTCCCTGCGTGAACGGCCGGTGGGGCACCCTGAGACCTCGGGGGCAGAGGCAGACGCCCTGCGGGTCCCGGGAAGGGAGCCTGTCACCGGCCAGAGATGATAGCTCACCAGTGCTGAACGGCAGCGAGGCCTTGTCTCCTGGCCTCGTCGCCCCCGCCGCCGGGGCCTCTCCCGAAAGCCCTCTCCAGCTGCTGTCGCCCGGGGAAGGCTACGAACCGAAGGCGAGCCTTTCTCTGGCGCCCAGGCGGGGCTCTCTCCCCGACCAAAAGGACCTCCGACTGGCCGCCGTGGACTTAAACTGGGAGGGCAAACCCCCTTCTCTGGTTTGCCAGCTGGAGGTGGCAGACAGCAGGACGGTTGGCACGCTAGGCCTCAGGAACCCCCCGGATCAGACCAACGGCCTTCACACCCCGCCTCATGTCTCCAGCTCCCTGATGGGAGCGGTCTCTCCTAACGCGCTGCGGCGGAGCCTAGAGGCGGTCCAAGCGCTCTCCTCCAAGGCCCTGCCCACTTTGGCGGTCCGAAGCCCGCCCAGGGTGTCCTCGCCGGGGTCCCCGGGCGGCCAGAGCAGCGCCAACCTTGCCGAAGCAGCCGTTCCCGCTCCAGTTCGATCTGGCTCTGCCCAAGGAGACGGGCACGCCTTACCACCCATTGCTCGCCGCCTGGGCCACCATCCGCCTCAGTCGTTGAACGTAGGCAAGCCTCTCTACCAGAGCGTGAACTGCAAGCCCATGCAGATGTACGTGCTGGACATCAAGGAGGTCAAAGGGCGCGGGTGGGTCCAGTGGAAGGTGTTCCACGGCAGCTCCGTGGTGGGGCCCCCCGAGACCAGCCTGCACACGGTGGTCCAGGGGCGGGGGGAAGTCATCATCTTCGGCGGCTTGATGGACAAGAAGCAGAACGTCAAGTACTATCCCAAAACCAACGCCTTGTACTTTGTGCGGGCAAAGAGATAATGCGGCCTCGGAGGCTCCCCCTCAACCAGTTAGTCCTGCACCCGGGCGCGCTGTCAAGCAGGCTGTGAATGTGGCTTTCCACCCACTAATAAAAGAGATCTAAGCAAATGGCACCCAGGACTTTCCTCCAATTCCCGGTGTGGGCAGGAGGGCCAGAGAAAGGGCAGTAGAAAGGGCAGTTAGAAAGCGCGGTAGGCTCAAAGATCCCCCTGGGGACACCTGGCCCAGCAGGACCTGGACGTAGCCGGGTGGCCTCTGAGCCCTCTGTCATTTCCGATGCCGGTGGGCAAAACGCCAAGGGAAGTGGCCAGGCGGGGCACCCAGGGGACAACACCCCACAGCCGGTTGGCGGTTTGAAGAAAGAGTCCAAAGGCCCAGTCCTAGTTTAGGGATAGCCACCCTCTGGCCTGGTGGCCTTCTAGTCCCTGGGGTGGGAATTGGGGTTTTGAAGGGGGCCTCCAGGAGAAGCAGAAGCCCCCCGGGGGCCTGGAGACCCCTCCCACTCCTTGGGGCTCTGGCTGTTTTTCCCTTAGAGCAGCCTATGAGCCAAGGTTTCCCTTATAGCAGGGGGGGTGGGTGGGTCTTCAAACTTGACAGCTTTTAAGACTTGTGGACTTCAACTCCCATAATTCCTCCTCCAGTCCTTGTTAGCTCGGGAATTCTAGGAGTTGAAGTCCCACAAGTCTTAAACTTGCCAAGTTTCAAGACCCTTGGATTAGAGAGAGAGATTAGGTAGGTAGGTTGATTGATTGATTGATTAGGTGGGTAGATTAGGTGGGTAGATAGAGATGGAGATAGAAGATAGATATTGTAGATCAAACTTGACAGCTTTTAAGATTTCTGGACTTCAGCTCCCAGAATTCCTCCTCCAGTCCATGTTAGCTCAGGAATTCTAGGAGTTGAAGTCCCACAAGTCTTAAACTTGCCAAGTTTGAAGACCCTTGGATTAGAGAGAGAGAGAGATTAGGTAGGTAGATTGATTAGGTGGGTAGATAGGTAGATTAGGTGGGGAGATGGAGATGGAGATAGAAGATAGATATTGTAGATCAAACTTGACAGCTTTTAAGACTTGTGGGCTTTCAACTCCCAGAATTCCACCTCCAGTCCATGTTAGCTCAGGGATTCTGGGAGTTGAAGTCCACAAGTCTTCAAACTGGCCTTACAGGGTGGAGAGCCCACACGTGGGCCTGGAGGCCTCCGCCGCAGGGCAAGTTAAGGAGTACTGAGGGAATGGCAGTTCCCACCCTCAATGCTTTTGGCCTTGGGGATGTGGGGGGAAGGTTCAGGTCACCCCAGGTAGTCCGAAAAAGCCCCAAATGAGGAAATTGGGGAGGTGGGGTGGGAGAAACAGCTGGGCACACTTGCTATCGGCTACCTGGCCCGACCCGCTTTGCAAACGAAGGCGGGGAGGGCAGCAGCAGCTGCGGTTTAAAGGGTCAGGCAAGGGGAACACCATTTGGCGGGGGAGGCGTGGTAACGCCAGCCACCTCCAATGCGGCATGATTTACCATTTCTCAGGCTTTGCTTCTGGTCACACGAGGGGAGTGGGGGAACCCCCATTAACGGCTGGGGGGGGGGCATTTGGGCAGTGAACTCTGCAAAGGGGCAGGGGGAAGTGTGGTGGGTTCCTGGCTGGCAGCTGCCCGCGGTGGGAATCCTGTGCCAGGTTCATAGCCCTGCGGCCTGGTCCTGCCTCAGTTCTGCCTGTGGCTTTTCCCACACTCCCTTGGAGAGGCTGTGAGACTTCCCAGCCGAGAGAAAGCTGCACTTGGAAGCTTCCTGGCTGGCTGCCCGGATTGCAGGAATATTTCGAACCCGCCTCCCTCTTAGGAACAGCTTGGCAGGACTCTTTTAAAAGCCCCGCCCAGACGCCGCACCTGGCCGTACCCTCCCAGGCCTTTCCACCTCGCACCGACTCGAAGGGCTAAAACACCCGGGTGATTCCCGGGGAGCTTCTTATCCTGTACCCCAAGGCTGCGGCCGGCATGAGGCTTTCACAAGCCGCCGAAGCCGTTTCTAGGCCCACCGAGCTCCCGTTTCTGGTCGCGCAACGAGACAAAAGATGCATTCGAAAGCTGGAGCCCCCCCCCCCCGCCCCCCCCATCATTTCGCTTGCAGGACATAGCTTGCATCCCCGTCTGCTGATCTCCCAGAGCTTGCCAGTGGTAGATCTGTAAAGGATCACACACACACACACACACACACACACACACACACACGTGTTCAGTTCCTCCTGGGGTCCTGCAGGAGCAGACCACGCCCGTGTGAGTCCCCGAGACACCAAGCCGCCATGGAAGGAAACAGCCCAATGGATGATTTAAGACGTTTGCTATCCTCTCCACCACCACCACACATCGATTTAAGAGTAACAGTTGGAAGGGACCTTGCAGGTCATCTAGTCCAACCCCACTCCACCCAATAGGAGACTATTTCTGACAGATGGCTCCAGTTCCAATCTCTTCTTGAAAGCCTCCAGGGATGAAGCTCCCACAACTTCCAAGGGCAACTTCTGTTCCATGGGTTGGTTGTTCTCCCTGTCAGAAAATTTCTCCTTATTTCCAGGTTGAATCTCTCCTTGTTCAGTTTCCATCCACGATTCTGTGTCTGGCCTTCAGGGGCCTTGGAAACTAGAATATAATTCTTCATTGGCCAAGTGTGATTAGACACAAGGAATTTGTCTTTGGTGCAGAAGCTCAGTGTACATGAAAATACATTCATCAAGAATCATAAGATTCACAACACAAGTGAGTCATAGGTTACTAATAAGCAATCAAATCATACTAGGGAACAAAACAATATAAATAGTAAAGATAACAAAGTATCACGGTTATAATTATAAGTTGGAAGAGATAGGTACTTGGAAGGATGAGAAGAATACTACTACAGTCTTACTAAATAGTTTGACAGTGTTGTGGGAATTAGTTGTTTAGCAGTTCCCATAGAGTTGGAAAACTTCTGTTTTCATTTCATTTGAGGTCTATTTCACCCTGTTTTCCACCTTAGAGTGATGTGGGACTCAAGTTCCCACATCGGAATTTGGGGATGGGGGACAGTCCTTGTGTCTAGTTATTCTGATGGACCCCCTCCACTTTGTTGCAGCCCCTCAAATATTAGAAGGCTGCTCTCCTGTCTCCCCTAGTCCTTCTCTTCCCTAGAGTAGCCAGGCCCAGTTCCTGCAACTGTTCATCGTATGTTTTAGCCTCCAGTCACTCTCTCTTGCTCTCTCTCCCTCTGTCTTTCTTTCTCTCCTTCCTTCCTTTTCCTTTCTCTCCTCTCTTCCTCTTTCTCTCCCTTTTGGTTCTTTTTCTCTTTCTCTCCCTCTTTTTTCTTTCTCTCCTTCCTTTCCTTTCTCTCTCTCTCCCTTCAAATCTTGGAAGCCTGCACTCATACCTCCCCTGGTCCTTCTCTTCCCTAGACCAGCCACGCCTGGTTCTTGCAACAGTTAGCCTCCTCCAATATGCAGGGATGGGACACCCCCCACCCCACACACAAACACAAACACACCCAACGCCCTTCTTTCTATACCCAGAGGTCTCCAAACTTGGCAACTTTTAAGACTTGTGGACTTCAACTCCCAGAATGCTCCAGCCAGCATAGCTGAGGAGTTGCCCTCTGAAGTTGTGGGACTTTCAAGAAGAGATTGGAGTGCCATCTGTCAGAAATAGTGTAGGGTCTCCTGCTTAGGCGGAGGGGGGGGTTGGACTAGATGACCTACAAGGTCCCTTCCAACTGTGATTATCTGTTTATCTGCCTCAGGAGATAAGGCCCTCCCTTGCCCTCACCAGCCTGGCAGCAGCCGAGCCCTGCCCCATGCCCAGGATGATGCCTGAGGCAGATAACAGATCATCAGAGTTGGAAGGGACCTTGTAGGTCATCTAGACCAACCCCGCCCCCTCACCCCCCGCCCAAGCAGGAGACCCTACACCATTTCTGACAGATGACGCTCCAATCCTCTTCTTGAAAGTCTCAAGAGCTATGCTGGCTGGAGCATTCCGGGCGTTAAAGTCCACCAGTCTTCAAAGTGGCCAAGTTTGGGGGGAACCCCTGTTCTGTAGGGGGCAACCGGCGGAGCCCCGGCGCAGGGGATCCGGCTTGCAGAAAGAAAACCTCGCCCCCTCCGCCCTCCTCGCGGGGACGGACGGCCTTAACCAAGGGGGCAGCGCTGCAGCACCCCCCCCCTCCCCCCCACCAGCCTGGCAGCAGCCGAGCGCTGGATTGTGGGGGGGGAGGGAGGCGTGATCCTGGCATGCCAAGGGGCGGGGCTCCCCGTGTGACGTCATGCCAAAACAAAGCGAGGGCGGAAGAAGCGAGAAGACGCGGTTCGGGCATGCGCGGTGGGAGGAGGGAGGCGATCCCTCCGCGGGGCGCAGCGTTGCCCAGCCTGCTTCTTTTTTTCCCGCGGTGCGGGGGGGGTGGGGGGGGGGGGGGAAATGATCGTCCGCCCGGGATCCGTGGTGGACCCGGACTGGCATTGCACCGAGGAAGGCAGAGCTTACTCGGGCGCGCTCTTGCGCCGGGCGCAGCGCCGATCCTTCGGTGAGGTCGCCCTTCCTCTCCCCCGGCGGGAGCTTGGGAGGGGGATTCGGGGCAAGGGAATCCCCTCCCCGCCCCGCTATCAAAGTCGACCTTCTCTCCCACGGCAGGGCTGATCGAGAGGCCCGTGCTGGCTCCGCAGGCGGCTGCCGACGTAGTCGGTTACAAGGTCTTCGTCTCGGGCAAGAGCGGCGTGGGGAAAACCGCCTTGGTGGCCAAGCTGGCCGGTCTGGAGGTGCCCCTGGGGCATCACGAGACCACAGGTGACCCCCGCTTCCTCCTCCTCCTCCTCCTCCTCCTCACAAGGCAAAGGATGGAAACCTGTAAAACCTAAAAGCCCAGGCGAGCTCGGTGCCAGGATAAAAGAAGGAGCAAGGGCAGAGCTTTCCACAAACTGGGCAGGATGGTGGGGGGTCCTTCCTTCTGCCAGGTAGCCCCGAGACCCTCTCCCTGAGGCAGATGAACAGATAATCACAGGTGGAAGGGACCTTGTAGGTCATCTAGTCCGACCCCGCCCCTGTCTAAGCAGGAGACCCAACGCCGTTTCTGACCAATGGCAGTCCAATCTCTTCTT